ATACCGGGCCCTTATCTCTGACGTAGTTGCCAACCACGGTCTAGGGCAATATCTAATTCTTTGGCACTGGAAGATTTGGTGAGATTGATGATAGTGCCCTGTTCTCAATTGGCAGCAACGGAGCTCCGCTAGGAGGGAGCTTGAATCTTTATTAGGAGCATATCTTGAGAGAAACAAGCTGCAAAGTTATGATTGATTTGAGGTGTACACCAAAAACGGCTTAGGTGGGTTCTTGCATCATTGCATGTATGTGGATAGGACCTGGAATACAGTGAACGGCATCAAGATTCGACATGGGTTTTCCGATGTGGCATCCATGAATACTGGCTTTGCTATTATACAATTTTCCTTGGTTGTGCACTCCAGTATGCCGAGGAGTGAGTAGATTGTGGCGCTGATAGGGTCCACATGCGGCTCTGCCTGTAAAGTGGTACAAAACAACCAAGGTGTGATGATGCTTGTGACGTGCAGCAACAGAGCACCAGCGTAAGTGTCAAAGCCAAGACATTTAGGGCAAAGCGTTTAGGACAACTTTTGAAGAAGTTGCTACTACAAGGATAGATAGATGGTGAAGAGCAGAGATATGAGATGGAGTTGTGCGAAAAAAAGAGGAAGATGGAATGTTGGAATGTTGGAAGGGCGAAGGGCAAGACCCCTTTGCCAAGGCTGATCACGGACGCTAAACAGGCTGCAAAGAAGATGAACTACGTCCCGCACCATATTTCTCGCGCCACTCACTGCTACGATCGCGTCCGCCTCAACACCCCGCGCAACAACTCCCATAGCTGGAGATGGTGTGAACTGACGATCCGTTTCACACATTCGAATATTGGCACAAATTTTCGAGGAAAATATTCTCTGGGCCAAACCCTCCAAACCCGTGCCAGACCGTGCCAAACCGTGCCACCAAGGTGTGCGCTGCTACCGACCATCATGGAAGGCGCATTCACACACATGGGCAACCACCTGGTCTCAGACTCAGCAGCCACGATCAATGCAGGGGCAGGCGACGATGAGAGCATTCTGGACCACGGCCTGACCGGCTCCCGTAGACGCCGCATCGGCGAAGATGACGACGAGACGGATATCTACGACGACGACGATATGGAGAGCATGGCGAGTATGCCGGTTGGTGGCCCAAATGGCAAGCCTGCAATGCGGGCCGAGGAAGAGTAAGAGCATGTTGGGCCTCCTGGCTGGCTATCGTTCTAAGAAAATTCAGGGTCGAACTACCTCCACACGCCTGCGCTTACTGTGGTATCCACAACGCTGGCAGCGTCGTCAAGTGTCTTGCCTGCAGCAAATGGTTCTGCAGCGCCCGTGGCAATTCCTCTTCGTCGCACATCATCAACCACCTTGTCCGCGCCCGTCACAAGGAGGTCCAGCTGCACCCGGCATCCTCCCTTGGTGACACCACTCTCGAATGCTACAACTGTGGCACCAAGAATGTCTTTCTTCTCGGCTTCATCCCAGCTAAGTCGGACACGGTCGTTGTGCTGCTCTGCCGCCAGCCATGCGCTTCCATGCCTTCGCAAAAGGACATGAACTGGGACACGTCCCGTTGGCAGCCACTGATTGAAGACCGCTCCTTCCTTCCTTGGCTCGTCCCTGCCCCAACCGACCAGGAGCAGCTCCGAGCTCGCCATCTTAGTCCTCAGACTATCGCCAAGCTGGAAGAGTTGTGGAAGGAGAATGCTAACGCTACAATCGCTGATCTAGAGAAGGGCGCTGGTCAGGAGGAGGTCATTGCCAAGGTTCTTCTGCGTTACGATGATGCCTTCCAGTATCAGAATGTCTTTGGCCCTCTAGTCAAGATCGAGGCTGACTATGACCGCAAGCTCAAGGAGTCTCAGTCCCAGGACAACCTCGTTGTGCGCTGGGACATGGCGCTCAACAACAAGCATACCGCCAGCTTTATCCTCCCCAAGCTCGAGCTTGGTGATGTCAAACTTGCTGTGGGTGACGAAATGCGTCTGCGCTACACTGGGGAACTCCGCCCTCATTGGGAAGGCGTCGGTTATGTCATCAAGATCCCCAACAACCAGTCTGATGAGGTCACAATCGAGTTGCGCACTAAGGGTGACCACAAGTCTGTGCCTACCGAATGCACTCACAACTTTAGTGCCGATTATGTCTGGAAGGCAACCTCTTTCGACCGCATGCAGCACGCTATGAAGACATTCGCTATCGATGAGATGAGCGTATCTGGATATATTTTCCACCGCCTGCTTGGTCACGAAGTTGCAGCAGCACCCATGAAGATCCAGATTCCCCGCAAGTTCAGCGTGCCAGGTCTACCTGAATTGAACGGAAGTCAAATCAACGCCGTAAAGAGTGTCTTGCAGAAGCCGCTCAGCTTGATTCAGGGCCCGCCCGGTACCGGAAAGACAGTCACCTCCGCCACCATCATCTACCATCTTTGCAAAATCAGCGGAAGCCAGGTTCTAGTCTGTGCGCCTTCCAATGTCGCTGTCGATCAGTTGTGCGAACGAATTCATTTGACTGGTCTAAAGACAGTCCGTGTCACTGCCAAGTCAAGGGAGGATGTTGAGTCTCCTGTAGGCTTCCTATCTCTGCACGAGCAAGTTCGCATGAATGACACAAATGTCGAGCTCAACAAGCTGAATCAACTCAAGAGCGATGTCGGCGAGCTGTCAAGCCAGGATGAGAAGAAGTTCAAGCAGCTTACCCGTGCAGCCGAGCGCGAGATTCTAAACGCAGCCGATGTCATTTGCTGTACTTGCGTCGGAGCGGGCGACCCTCGTCTTTCCAAGATGAAGTTCCGTACTGTTCTCATCGATGAGTCCACGCAGTCTGCAGAACCAGAATGCATGATTCCATTGGTACTAGGATGCAAACAAGTCGTCCTTGTTGGTGATCATCAGCAGCTTGGACCCGTCATCATGAACAAGAAGGCCGCCACAGCCGGGCTCAATCAGTCGCTCTTTGAGCGTCTCGTCATCCTTGGATGTTCGCCGATTCGGCTTCAAGTGCAGTACCGCATGCATCCCTGTCTTTCCGAATTCCCGTCTAACATGTTCTACGAAGGATCCCTCCAGAACGGCGTCACGATGCAGGAGCGCATCCGTCGCGATGTCGACTTCCCTTGGCCAGTCGCTGACAGCCCTATGATGTTCTGGTCTAATCTCGGTGCCGAAGAAATATCAGCCTCTGGAACATCCTACCTCAACCGAACTGAGGCGCAGAACGTGGAGAAGATTGTCACCCGATTCTTCAAGGCAGGTGTACAACCAGGCGACATCGGTATCATCACTCCTTACGAAGGCCAGCGTAGCTATGTCGTTAGCTCTATGCAAGCGACTGGTAGCTTTAAAAAGGAGAACTACAAGGATGTTGAGGTAGCTTCGGTTGACGCATTTCAAGGTCGTGAGAAGGACTTCATCATCCTCTCTTGCGTTCGTTCCAACGACCATCAAGGTATTGGTTTCTTGAGTGATCCCCGCCGTCTCAACGTTGCTCTTACGCGAGCCAAGTACGGCCTTGTGATCCTCGGAAATCCCAAGGTGCTTTCCAAGCATCCACTTTGGCATTACCTTCTCCTCCATTTCAAGGAGCGCAACTGCCTTGTTGAGGGACCACTCACGAATCTGCAGGTATCACTACTCCAATTTAGTCGCCCTAAGCAAACCTATCGCGGGCCGCAGCGTTATCAGATGGCTTATCAGCACGCCAACGCGATGACTTCAGGGCGCCAGGGCAGCTGGAATGGAGGCAAGCCTACTCGCCAAGAGTATAACGACAACGGTTCTATCGTTGGCTATATCCCTGATGATGTATCCTCGGTGCACTCCTCAGCACTTGGTGGTGTCGGTGTGCCTTCCAACTTCCCTCCTATGTTCTCCAACTTCCAGGAATCATGGCCGCTGCCTGGCCGTCCAGGATCTGGCATCAAGGGCAAGAACGGCGCACCCGCAAGCATTGCTGGCGAGTCTGTTGCTGCTAGCGAATTGACTGACTCCCAAGCTCCTGGAGGTATTAGTCTCTCTGGTCTGAGCCTGAATGACTACAACAAGCCTGCATCACTGAGCCAATCCGACCGCCTCAACCGCTTCGTCGAGTCCACTCGACAGGGTCCAAACATAGGCGCTGGATTCGGTGCAGCCCGAGGCCTCCGCGGCTTCGATGACGACGATGCACGCAGCGTGTCCACTGCTTTCGCTAGCCAGATTGGTGGTTGATCGGATGTCGAATTCACAAGCTAGGACCCCTTCCTACGCCACTACTCCTTTCGTCTTGGTTGCAAGCCTCACCGAGCGCCCGCTACAGACCACGCGCGGACTGATTGTCACACCGTTGTCTTTCAATCCTGCCACGCGTCCGTGTCTTGAGCGCGCCGAGAATGCTCTCCACCATCTCGTCTGATACATTATCGACATTGGATTAAGCCCCTCATAGGTGCTCTGTGTACATACGCTATCTCACACATTGTGGCATTGGCTTCCGCCATTGTCGCCAGAGCGATGCTGCGCAATTCAGGGCTCCCCATCGCCGCCTTTGTTCGAAGTGCTAGTAGCGCCGTCGTACGGGGGGAACCTTTCTAACTCGGCCCTAAGCTTCCTGTTTCCAGATGCTGGAAGGGGAGCCTCTTGGGCCCGGCATTTGCTTCTCGGTTCTAGATGCTTGATGTGTATTTGCGTTTTCGGTGGCGCGTTAGGGGGGTATTTGCGTATGCGGATAAAATTGTCTTATAGAAAATCATATTTTGCTGTTTTACCTTGGTGCGTGCGGATTGGTTGTTGGTTTGGTGATCATCATGTTCTTCGTGCTTTGCAATTCATGTCACTAACTTACCTTGTGTGCGTAACACCGTGACTGGCATGTGATCATACATGCATACATATATATCATCCATCCCAAGCAGTTCCCGTCCCACCTCTACTCACACCACATCCCACCCCTTCCAAAAAAAATCAGCGCCATCCTGACGTTCCCCCGGGTCTCCCTGCCCCCATAAGTGCACGCCAGAGCAAAAGGGAAGTCTCCCAGACGGAGAATCGAACTCCGGCCTCCGGCGAGCTGGTGCTTGACAAGCCGAAATACTGACCACTATACTATCTGGGACGATGTTTTTTTATGGAGGGATTGGAAGGGAAGGGGTGTGTATACGGGATCAAGGTGTGGGGTAGAAGGTGTAGCTGGTTCGTTTGTAAAGGGGGTTGGAGTCTGTGTGTGTGAGTGTTTGGGTGTGGGCAGATAGAAGGTGTTTAATGGGACTGTTTGCTTTCTCGTGCTGTACTTTGCCTATTGTATGTGCAAGTGTTGTGCTCAAATTTCATGTTGGAGGTTGCGTATGGTGATTTAAGTTTTTTCGTGTTCGTGACTCGATGATAGCACTGTTTATAGACTTTATTAGGTCAGACGTAGTTCGCTATGGCATAGATTTGCTATTCTAGTAGTACTCTGATTTGGACGCTTTTGGTCAAGGTATATTGTTGACTCTACCAAGGTGGTAATAATAGTGTGCTAGATGTATAATGTGCATTGCAGGGAAGGAAGTGTTCAGTTGGTAACAACTAGGTGCTTCTTTAGGAATACAATTGTATCAAACATAAACTGTAGTGCAAGGTGATTTGTGTAAGTCGCGAAACATTGATAGCTGCAGCTTTTGATCCTTGGGCGAGAAAAGTACTAAGGTAGGAGTAAATAGCAAGACAAATTGACGTGTAAATATACGAGTAGTATGAGTTGTTGTATTTTAATGGTCTTATTATACATCTCAATGTTTATCTTACCAAGCTAATTGGAAAGTATACTGCATTATTCGTCCTCAGTAATCATCACATTCCAAGAACTTCTCCACGTATGCTCCCTTCTAACTTGTCCTAACCCACAACCGTTCGATTATAAGCATTCAAGCCCCAAAACCATTCCAGCTTCTCCCAAATAGCATCCAATGTGTGTTCCTCTGGACGAATATCCCTCAGTCTAAACACAGCTTCCATAGGATCAATGAACACCGTCGACTCATTATACCCCCACTTCTCCAGATTCGTAACATTGAACGCAACGAGCATACTGCATCCATTAGCCCCAAGCGCCCAAAACCACCCCTCATAAAAAACTTACTTGTGATCTTCATGAACCATATTATGGCAATGAAACATACTATTTTCACCAGTCAGCCCACCAACACCACATCACACCACTTCCCCTCACAACCAAAAAAAAATGGGGACTTACTAAACACCCTGCCACGGCGCATACCTAGCAACAGCCCCTAACCGTCTCCCCCGGCGCAAGCCAAACAACATCCTTCATCCCCGCCCCCTCGTACCCCTGCACACCACCCCTCCCCCTCGTCCGAGACAAAACTTGAAAATCAACAAGATGAATATGCACCGGATGCACCCCCCCGGCATCCCCATCCTGCAGCTCCCAAATCTCATCTGTGCCAAGCGCCGGCCGCGTCAGGATGCGGTTCTCAATATCCGCCCAGCCGACCCCGTTGATGGCCCAGACGTCGTCGACGCGCTCGAAGGCGAATGTTTTGGTGGTGGTGTTTGTTTGGGGCGGAGGGGGGATTTGGCGGAGGGTTGGGGAGATGGGGCCGTTGTTGGTATCGCTGGATGTGGCGTCTGTGACTTGGAAGCGCATTACTAGGTCTGTTGCTGCGTAGTCGGCGATACCTGGGGCGCCTCTTTCGTTGCACAGGGTGAGGGATCGGCCTTTGTTGGGGGAGAAGTCGATGATTAGTTCGTAGCGTTCGCCCATGGAGAAGGCGAAGGAGGTTGTGGGGATGGAGTGGTTGAAGAGGCCTGGGTGGATGGTTAGGGGTTGGATGGTAGGGGGGCCTTGGGGAAGGGTGAACGTACCGCTGTCGGATGCGATCATGTCAAATCTTATGGCATCTCCGTCTAGGCCTTCGTGAAGGGATATATTGAATACTGGTTGTCGTTAGCGAGGTGTGATCAGTGAAAGCAAAGAGTAGAACTTACTTCGACTCACAACGCTGTTAAGTAAACGAAAGCGGTACTTTCGTGGCTCTACCTGCATGTATGACCATGGCTGTCCATTTCTGTAGCCAAATCAGTAGTCGTGACTAGAATTCGGAAGGAAAACGTACACTTGTATTATATCGCCAAAGACGTTATTATTCCCATTGGTGTCATAAATCAAAGCGCTGTCACTATCGTATTGTTTCGAGCAGAACGTCGTAATCCCCATTAGGTAACATCAACGCATCCTCCTCCTCGTCTTTTAGTAAATAGAAACCGGCCTGTCCTCTATATACGTTTTCACCAGTCACAAACTCCGTGTGGTCCTGAATATGGTCAGTGATGTGGAGCATAGAACCAGCCGTACTATCATTGACTGACATGATACCATATAGTTCGAGCATTCTGGGCATTTGGATAATGATAGTCCTTGTACTGCCCCGGATGGGTATAATCTGCAGCCCGCCCATCAAACGGCGCGCGATTATACTGTCCATGAACATGCACGGAGATATTGGTTGGCCCGCTATTGGTGAACCTAACAACCGCTTCTGCGAAATGTATTAACCTGAGGAACCGGATGTATAGTCGGAGACGTACCTCTGCCTTTGCGCATCATGAAAGTCGGGCCAGGTTCTACTCCATCATATCCTACCATTGACGTAGGAGGTAAATTAGGATATACTTGCTTCTCTAGGCTTTTGACTTCAACCTCATAGTACTCCAAGTCTTCTTCTGTAATATTGTTTGTATATGTGCTTCTACCGTCAGTAGTGAAGATTGTTCTGGCTGTGCTTGACGAACTGTATAGGTTGCTTTACCAGGGGAATCGGTAGTGGAAATTCGAAGGTCCACCGATATACCGGACTGATCCACTCCCCAGGTGGCTGTATCTTGCTCTCGTTCGTTGCTGTAACCTTAATATGAGAAAAAAAGGCATCTGGAGCAGTATGATCTAGAAATCTACAAGCGTAGGAGAGATTAATCCCTCTACTTATCACGAGTAACAAGATAAATTGAAGATGGTGATGAGAGATCATGGTGAATCTGATGCTGCTTAAGATTTCGTACTGCAATTATAGCTGCGCCCTGAAGCCTCATATACTCCCCGTAGACGGAATTTCCATGGGGCGTCAACGCCATCGCCAGTGACCACGAAGCTGATTACAATACTCGAGGCGTATTTGAAGGCTTGCAAGAATGAATAGTTGTCATACTGCTGCAAGGAAACTGAGAGCTGGACCTGACATGTTGTATACTTGGCGTATGCGGGATACGACATCTATAAATTCCGTTGGTGATAATACCGCCACAGGGGTGCTTGCCTCGCAGCATGCGGTGTTAAGCAATCAAGTATGAAACCAACCTACTGTTCAAAGACGCGTTCGCATACATCTGGATTGCGAAAGCTCTGACATGTATGAGCAAGAATGTACATCGAAGATCTCGGGCAGTTAATAGAACTAGATAAAAGATACGATATCGGCGAAGGCAACTGTTGCTACAGAGTAGAGACGGCTCGCAGATGAATGCTAGCTCCACAATGGGAACGCTAGTAAATCGTATGGACAGCTCTACTCCTTGCCTCTCGCACGATCTCGCGAGCCAAGTCGTACGGTACTATTGATTTTTAGATTTATTTTATTTTTCCCGCTATGAACCCCTTCCCATGATGTTGTACAAGTGTTTCAGGGCGATATACGATCGCACATCCGGCGCCATACGTTCGGAATGTTCACCCTGCGTTGTACAGCAGCACGCGGCCTGCTGAAGTTTCATCTGCTCCATACATCCGATCGGTCTTCTCTTGACCATGACCGAGCATATGCCATGCCCACCAGCGACCGGCTAGTCGTCTTTGTTGCCATCAGCCACGGTCTCTCCCACCTCGTTACCCAAATCTGCATCTTCGGATTCTAAATCCAGCATGTCCAACTCCTCAAATATGTCTTTGATCTCCGCCCGATGCTTATCGCACATGTGTCTTAGTTCCAGAGATTTCTTATCTAGGAACACTTGCCGTTCAGCACAGCCCTTTGTCTTGATCTGCTTCCACTCTTTCCTGAAGTCCTCCTCGAATGTCTCTAGAAGCAAAACATGTGCTGTGTATACTGGCAGTATTTTCTCTGATTTTTTGAATACTGGGGCCTCGTTTCTCAATATCAACTTCTGCGCAGTGCTGATGGGGAGGGAGTCAATCTCGCGGATCAGAGCATCTCTAGAGTTCCGTAGCGGAGCCACATCCGTGCTGATTTGTTTAGTCACGGCCTTGATCTTGTTGTACATTCTGACGATATAGTCGTTCTGCTGTTGGTTGGTTGGGGCACGCAAAGGGCTCGTACTGTCTCTAGAGTTGGGCGCCATGTCGTGAATCCAGAGAGTTTGCTAGTTATGAATGGTGTGCGAAGTACTGGTGTAAATAAAGAATTGATTAGACCGCATTTATTTATACTCAGTTTTGCTTCATCCAAAGCATGTTGATAAAAGCATACAGGTGGCAAGATTGTTTGTCCATCACAACAGGGTATAGTTCCTTCCATATACTCAGCTCTGGCCTGGTCATTACTTTGGTTACGCCAAGCACGAAGGCGTTTCTTCTTTCACAGCTGCCCTCGGACAAAAGCAAGAGAAACATTCGCCCGCCCTATGATATCATGTCAAGTAGCGTGTCTTATCACCACCCGGGCCGAATCACCAGACGAGCCACTCCGAAAACCACCAAAAATCGCAAAAACTACATATTAATATCTCAACAACAACCTAATAATATGTGCTAAAATTTTATAAAAAGCCTCTTATACCTACTTAGAAGCACCTCTAGAATTACTAGGGAAATAAATTTAGCTATTATAAAGATACCGAGTTTTTGCCCCCAATTTTAAGCTAAATTGCTATACCTCTAGGACTACATAATAAATTACCTTCTTAGTTAACTAAGAGCCTTAAAATAATAACGCAAAGGCATACATGAAATTTTAGAATATATTATTAAGCCGTTGTTGAGATATTAACGTACAGCTTTTGCGATTTTTGGTGGTTTTCGGAGTGGCCCATCTGGTGATTCGGCCTGGGTGGTGATAAGACGCGTTACTTCAAGTACGATTATAACATATACTTTGTATTTTT